CGGGCTTTTTCTGAGGGGAGATTTGAGAGCAGGAGAAAGCCGCGGCGGCGGAGCAGCGACAACAGCAGCGGCGGCGGAGAGCGCGTCCTTGCTGCTCCGGGAGGGTCGAATAAGTGACGGGGAGAACCAAACCGCCACCATCTTGGCGTTCAGGGCATCCGACGGGGCCGGCCGGGCGAGGCCTGAACGGAGCCTCCCGTCGCAGCCGCCGGCAGAGCCGCAAAACAAGCAGGGCGAGCTTCGACCCCGACGGTGAGGGAAACCGCGTGGGGGGGGGGCGGCGGCCCGGTGGGGTTTGGAGGGATTCCCCAGGACCGTTGGCCACGTGACAGGCTCGAAACGCGGCCTACCGGAAGTGGGGCGGGCACTTCCGGTGGAGAGGGGGTGGGGCTGCTCCCTTGTGCTCATCCCCCCCCAATTGGGGGGGGGTCTTTTGGACTACATATCCCATCTGAGGCGTCTATATATTTTTTATTTATTTTATAATTTTTATGTTTTATTTTTTTGAAAATATTTAAGTTTGATCCATGTTTATGCATACAATATTTAATAAAATATCTTATTTCATTTATTTTAATTGAAAAGACAGGGATAACAGTTGCAATTAAAGCAAAGCCAAAGAAAAGTCAGTAGCTATGTCAAGAATATTAATAACTATAGCCTATTTACAATTTTCTTTTCAATTTTTCCCTTGCCATGGTCCTACATCTTTATTTCCCATGCTAGCAATGATTGCATTCGTAAACTTATTTTCCCTCTCATTTCTACCTGTTGTCGCTTCGTAAAATTTATTCCCCCCCTCTAAAAGCCCATATTGGATTCTGAATCAAGGGTTCCTGAAATTTCCCTTACTACGAGAACCCTGCAGGGTAGGCTGGTGGAGAGGGGGGAAAGCCCCTCCCCTCAATGGCCTAAGGAGCTTCTGTAGCTGCTGGCTCCACAGCTAGGGATTCATTGAATTGAATTGAATTTATTATATTTCTATGCCGCCTTGGCTCACAACCCAAGTCGGGGGGGGGGGTACAAATAAGAACAAAGAAAGAGGGGACTCAGGGCGGCTCACAACCCAAGTC